TTTCACTAAGTTGCTTAGGGTCTTGCTAAATTGTTGAGGCTCATCTTGAACTTTTTATTCTCCTGCCTCAGGCTGCAGAGCTGCTGAGATTACAGTCATGCTTCACCATACCTGACTCATTTGGTGTGTTTTCTATGGTCTTTGCTTTATTTGTTTAGGGTGTATTTTGATTCAAATGATATATTGTGCACTTTACTATTGCTTTTCCTTTTCAATTTAAATACAATCCTCTAGTGTTTTTCTCTCTTTGAATTTTTCTTAGAGGTGTGGTGAGCATAAATAAGAGAATAATTCTGAAATATTTGGTGGAGAATGTCATTGATTATTATTGCATTGTGATATATAAATTGGCATTCTCTCTATGAAAATGACTGGTATTGTTCTTGCTTTGGCAGCATACATACTAAAATTGGAACAACACAGAGAAGACTAGCATGGTTGCTGTGCAAGAATAACATACAAATTTATTAAACATTCCATATTTTTACCCAGCTGTCTCATTTCTTGGTATTTATCCAAAAGAACTATAATCATCATACCATAGTGATACAGCCACATCAATGTTTATAGCAGCACAATTCACAATAGCCAAATAATGGAACCAGTCCAGTTGCCTTTCAATAGATGAATGGACAAAGAAACTGTGATAYACATAAACAATGCAGTTTTAGTCAATCATAAAGAAGAATAAAATTTTGGCATTTACTAGTAAATCGATGAAAATGGAGAACATCATGCCAAGTGGAATAAGCCAGATTCAGAAAATTAATGGTCAAATATTTTCTCTTATATGTGAAAGCTAGAGCAAAATGAGGTAAAAAAGGGAAGATATCATATCATAAAGATAGAGGGAAGATCAGTGTAGTAGAAGAAGGAGATTGACAGGGAGGAAGGAGGAACAGGAAAGGGGAGGAAATGTGGGATGAATCTAATAAAAAGCACACTATGTGCATGTATAAATATACCACAGTGAATTCTACCTTTATGTATATCTATAAAGCACTGATCAAATATAAATAAGTAAAAGAGCAAAAAGAAATCAGAGGAGCGGAAGAAGGAGAAGAGAGAGAGGGAGGAGGAGAGTGAAAGGGGTGGGTACCAGAAAATGAAATGGAGTAAATCAAATTCCATGCCTGTATGATCTTGACAAAATGAATCCCAATTATTCTGTATAACCATAATGTACTAGTAAAAGTAAAAATGGCTTATATTTATTATGTCATCCTTCAACTAATATATCTAAATGATCCTTTAATACATTGCCATTTTAAAAATGGGTTTTTAAAGAGTAATTTTAAATTTAGAGAAAAATTGAGAAGTCAGTACAGATAATATCAATAAACCCTGCACCTAGTTCCCCCTCTTATTAACATCTTACCTTAATATGGTATATTTGTTATAATTAATTAACTAATATCCATGAGCTATTATTAAAGTTGACAGTTTATTCTAATTTTCAAGGTTTTCCCTTAATGTCCTTGAATTCTGGGATCTCATCCACCACATCACATTACAGTTAGTTGTCATGTGTTCCAAGGCTTCTCTTGGTTGTGAAGGTCTTAGACTTTGCTTCTGACCACTTTGACAGTTTTTAGGAACATGATCAGGTATTTTGTAGGAAGGTCTGTGTTGGATTGTATGATTTTTTCCCTCACTATTTGGGGAATTGAGGAAGAAGAGCATGAAGATAAAGTGACACTTTTATTATCTGTCAACAATACTTAGTGTCAACATGATTTTCCCCATCGATGCTGACCTTGATCACGTCCTTGAGGTACCATTTGTTAGGTCTCTCCACTGAGAAGTTTTTCTTCCCCTGCTCCTTTCCTCACAGTGTTCTTGGTTAGGAAGTCACTAGGTGTGGCCCAAACTCAAAGAGTGAGGAGTCATGCTTCCTGCTCTTTGAGCATGGAATATTTACAAAAATTGTTTGGAGGTTTTCACAGATGATTTATCTCATCTTCTGCATTTATTTATTTATTCAATCCGTACTTTGTATCAGTATGGGCTCATGTATTTACTTTATGCTTTGTATCATGATCTCCTACTAATATATTTTTTTTTGCTCAAATTRTTCCAGCCATTGGCCATTGTGAGCTCTTTCAGTTGGCTCCTGTGTTCCTTTGATTTACACTTATCAGTGTAAAGCTTTTTTCTTTTGTGTTTGTTTTGAGTAGACTGCTTATTTATTTTCAAAATTATAAAACAATTTTTTAAAGTTTACATATGAGCTTTTACCTTTTCTAGTTTTTAAAAATTCTTTTTGTTTCTGTTTTTTAACACGGTGGATTYGAACCCAAGGGCTTTCCACATGGTTGTCAAGCCCTCTAYCATTGAGTTATATCTCCAGCCATATTTATTTATTTATTTTTAAAATTTTGAGACAGGGTTTCATTATGTTGCCCAGGCTAGCTTCAAACTTGCCATCCTCCTACCTCAGCTTCCTGAATATCTGGGATTACAGGTATGCAGCACCATGTTCTGAAGATTATTATTATTATTATTATTATTATTATTATTATTATTATTATTTTAAATTCTTATTTCACCACTTACCCTCAAAGAACAGAGATTTAGCTTCCTTTCTTCCTTCCTTCAGCTGGGAATTGAACCTAGGGCCTCCCACATGCTAGGCAAAAGTTACAGGTTGTAGAACCGATCTGAAATTGAATTTCCAATTTATTTGGTCATCAAACACGATACCAGATGTAAATCTGGTAGAGCACAAATGAAGTATAACTGCATTTAGAATGAAGTGTGCAGTAAAAATGTCACCAGTTACAGTGATATCTGATTTCTCAGCTGTGGTTGAACAGAGCAATGTCCACTTCTGGAAAAATGTCCCCTGTTAGCTTCCAGTCCCTACATTCTCCTGTTTTCTATAACTTTTCTTCCAGAGAGTCTCTGGCAATAGTTAAGTGTCAATGGTAGCTGCCTTCTCCGTGATTATTCTCTACTCCTAATCTTTAAATCAACTCTGTATGCTTGTTAGGAGCCTTCAGCTTGATCTTTCTCTTGATCTTATTCTCTACTTTTCTTAAAGTTTTAGATACTGGAATATTTTGAAAAGCACCCCCCCAACACACACACTTTTTGCAAAGCAAAAGTGCAGGTCTTAAGCTCTGTTTATTTATTTATTTATTTATCTATTTTGCAGTGGCCTTTTGAATGGATTCTTAGGCCTCCATTAGCTTTCCTATAGGAAATATCTAAGCAATCCTCAGTCTTTATCAGGAAGTTATATCCACTTATCGTTTTTCAACTTCCTTTTTGGAGTATGAATTAGCTGTAAACATGCTGAGAGTACTCATCTGCCATATGCTTCTGGCCAAAAATATTTGTTTTGGCTGCTACAGAAACTCTGGCAATAGAGTCTTCAGAAATATAACAGGTGGCCTTTCCACTGGCCTTAACTTGTAGCATTTAGGTAGCCTTCTATTACCATGTGTTTTGAACCTTGGCTACACATTATAATTATATGGGGAGCTTGCCACATGTACTGAGGTTTGACCCTCTTAGAGTTTGATGTTCAATTGACCATTAGTGATGCCAGACAGAGGAATGTTTTCAAAAAGTCTTAAGCGATGGTAACATGAAGCTCCATTCGCTGATCATTGACATGTGCAGTAGAATAGCCTTTGCGTCAATTGCCCTTGGTATTCACTTGTGCCTCACCGTTCCTGACTGAGTAATGTTGGGCATGTTGCTAAGACCTCCTGAGCCCAGTGTCTCCTCTGTTTATTACCACATTCCAAAAGCTTGGTTTGGAAGAATGAATACTTTAATTCCCACTCCAGTTCTTTTTTTCTATGACCGTTTCTCATTTTTCTCCCATTGTGACACTACTTTTACCATAAGTGTCCTTTCCTTTTGATCTCTAAAATGTCAATATATTTAATCATGAGTACTTTATATCCTGTTATAATTGACGATAACAGCAGTGGTTCAAAAGTCAAGAAAGAGGACCTGGGGTCAGCTGTACTTCCTTCATTTATTTTTACTACATTTAGATTAGACACCTGGTCCCTGACTCTAGCTTTGATCTTTTGTCAGATCTTTTCTTGTATTTTGGGGGGGACTGTATTTGACATTATATTATTATTATTATTATTATTATTTTATATTTTGGCACTTTTGGAATTGAATCCAGTGGTACTTTACCACTGAGCTATCTACCCAGCCCTTTTTTACTTTTCATTTTGAGAAAGCCCCTTGCTAAGTTGCTGAGGCTGGCTTTGAACTTGTAAATCTTCTGCTTCAGCTTCCCAAGCTGCTGGATCATACATGTGCATCACCATGCACAGCTTAAACCCTTGTTCTTTAGAGTTAACCTGTTCGAAATACCAGGATCCTACCACGTTATGCCCACCTTATGGTCAGTTACACGAGGGTAGTGATGGTGATATGATCATGATAACTACAGTGTTTCTAGAACCCTTTGCTGAATTACATTATATAAAAGGGTCTATGGTCTAAGTGGGAGAACATGAGTTAAGTAAGCATGCTTCTCTGTTTTCAAATTTCTTTTTTGATTGAATCAAGAGCTAATTCTTAAGAGCATTCTAAAGTCAGTTTTCTCAGCAATTCATGTCCCTTATGAAATGAAAGAATATTTTTTAATGAGATTTTTCTCTTTTCATGAAAAACTACTGTTAAACCATTCACATTAAACAAATTATTTTTAAAATGTTATTTCATTTTTGTTTTCAGCTCTGAAATTTTACCTGAAACAAATAATACTTTTTTACTTTGAAATTTCAATTGACAACATTTCTAGGTTATAATCAATGTGGATTTGATGCTAACTACAGAAAAACCAAAACACTAGGTATGAAGTTCAAACTAGTGGGGAAAAGGACTATATAATAGATACCTACATCACATACTGGTGATTTTTTTTATTTTGATGTTATAAATAATGTATAGTTCAGAGGCATTTCAATCCATAAAAGGCTATCTCAGATCCATTTGTGAAGTGTTCCATTTTAAGAACCATAAAAATTCAACAGCAATCTAGAGCCCCAAACATTAAAAAAGTCAATATTCATCTTCATCATAGAGAATGAGTTGCGTTTTGCTCAGCAAAACAAAATTCTCTTCCATGAAAACCTGCAGATCAAGCAATTCATTGTCTTGGTTGGCTTTATAATAACTAAATAGTAACAAAGAAATGAAGGAAAAACTGTTTCTGTGAAAAGGTGACCAAAGATTGAGAGACGGCTTGGTTAGCCACTTTCCTGTTGTAATTTAGAAACTGATAATGAGAACCTAGCTTGGACATGTCTATCATCCCCACCCTTAGTTTTTCATGGGATTAAAAGAAAGAGAAGCAAGRAAGATATTTTAAAGCAGACAGCTAACTCTCATGATCTCCATGAAGGCAGAAGGCAGAAGACAGTTATAATTGATGAAATGTGTGCACATATAATCCTGGGCACAGTAAGGAGGTCTTGTTAAACTGGAAAGTCACTTATTACTTGAGGGAA